GGATCGTTGAGTGACTACCCATCAGTGTTTTCAGCCAAATCAGTGAGTGCTAGTCTATCGCTGTTTAGTTGTGTGTTAACGGCTGCCTCTGCCTCCAGCAGGAGTGCGGGAACGGGAGGGCGGCGAGCACACGTATCACGGGAGCGGAGACACGGAGCATCAGCACTGAGGAGAAGACACGGCACGGGAGTTGGAAACGCACGGGGATGTATTGATTGTGTACTATTTACTTCACTGTAAATAAACGCACTGCATTCATCGCACAGAGTCCTGCATTTTGGGTCCTCCTTCCCCACATCCCCCCACATTTGCCCTGGGAAACCATGACATGCGTTTTGTTTTTTGTGCAAAAATACTCCAATTTGGAGTCTCAATTGAAGTCATATTTCAAGTCTTGATTTAGTGCTTCTAAACTTCTGTAAACTGGCGTACAGCGTAAACCTTGTCAATTAATTTTAGTCCTCCTGCAGTTAGTGGGCACCACTCTCCGTTGTTATGTCGAAGAAAGTAATATTGCACTACATACTTGTACCTAAATAAATACAAGCAGGAAGCACGTTTTGATAGTGTGATTTGGCCGTCAGAACGTCCTACCTATACATATGTACGATGGAGGCATAAACCACGTAAGGTTTACTATAAATTTACGCTAGGATGTTTTGACAAAGTAGGATGTTTTGATTTAGACTTATTCATAACACACGGGAAAAGACCCAGGGAAACCGAGTTAACGATAAAAACCGATAAAAATCCAGAAAACCGTCCATTTCACACCCGAGCCTCAACTCTCGCGACCTGGTACCAAACGACCAATAATGTACCCCGGGTGTTGGGAACCGCTGATCTAGGGTACCGTTGCTTATTTGCCCATTTGTCTTTGTTTTGGGATTGCTTGAGCAAAATAATTCATATTACCTGAAAAGTGCTTTTATTGCAACACTGATCAGTTTGCAGTTTTGTTTTTCAAAGTTGTTCCCGTCCATTTACTTACCTGTTATTAAAGGGATTACTGAGAAGCTTGGGGTATTTTATGACTATGTGCTCAGTGAATAAATAATCATTATGAAATTGTGCTAAAATTGTGCTTAGAAGAGAATTGTCATGATCTGAGTGAGCCAACTGGATATAAATGTGTTTGTTTTTTTCTTGCTCCTCTGGAGAACTGCTAAAATGTTAATAAGAGCTAGTGAAGAGCGGATAAAAGCACGAAACGCTTCTAATTTGTGACGTGTGCATTTGTGGGAAACACGTTTTTATAACCTTCTGTTGTTATAGCCTTATATCTCAGAGGAGCAGATGTGTCCTCATCTCCCTGTGCTACTCTTCTATCTATATGTCACCCACTCCCCTTATTATTTATTTGACTGAGCCTTTGCCCCTGTGCCAGCTCGCACACACCATTGATTCATTAACAATTAATGAGTGGATGAATGTCTGGCCTTTCACTAGCTTTGTTTCCCTTAAGTTTTTCATTTCTCTGCTTGGCTGTTGCTCTCCTTCTCTCCTCGGCTCACTTTTAATCTTTCATTTCTTCGTTTAGCTAATTGTCATTAGCCAGAATCAGTTGTTTTTAGTTGCTGAGTTTTGACTTCTTAAGACTGTGACAACGAAACAAGTGAGGTGCAAGAAAAAAAGCTCTTTGGTCAGCTAAAATATATTAATACTACCATTTGTACAATCCATTGTAAATAGTAATTTGTCCTCTGTTGTTATACCTGTGAAGCTTAAACATGCAGTAACTCAGCGTCTACTCAAGAAACCTGCTCTTGATCCTGATATTATTGCAAATTACAGGCCTAACTGAGTTGGGGGTTTTTTCAAAAATTCTTGAAAAGGTAGTTTACAAGCAATTAATGTCCTTTTTAGAAGAACACTGTATTTTAGAAGTTTTTCAATCTGGTTTTTAAAGCTTTGCATAGTACAAAATCTGCCTTTTTAAGAGTTTTTAATGATGTGTTTTTAGCACCTGACTCAGGTGTGTTATTATCGTGCTTTTAGATTTAACTGCTGCCTTTGATACAGTGGATCATAACATTTTAATTTACTGTTTAGAGCAGTTGGTGGGTGTTAGGAGTGGTTTAGATCCTATTTGGCAGAGCAAACTTTCTCTGTGAAACTTAGTGAGTTTGTATCCTCTGCTGCTGCTTCTCTTCAATGTGGGGTCCCACAGGGTTCAGTTTTAGGCCCCCTTCTTTTCTCCCTATACCTGCAACCCTTTGGATCTATTTTTAGGAAACATGGGATTTCTTTCCACTGTTATGCTAATGACTCCCAGATTTATTTCCCTCTTAAAAAGATAAATGGCTTCTCAGTAGACCCTCTGCTCAGATGTTCAGTTCAGTTCAGTTCATTTTTATTTCAAACATTTCAAACATGTGCCTTCACAATCATTACAAAATATCATTCCATTATTTGTTTGAAAAGGAGTAGGCAGAAGTATTTACTTATTTGTCCATACCCCCTCAGGTTTTACCTCTCATTCATTTAATTGTTTTTTTTGTCTTAAATTAAATAAACAACAACAAACAGCAACAAAAATAAAGCAAAACAAAGCAAAACATACATCAATCAAAAACAAGAAATTAGCAAGTCCCACCACAGTAGTTTCTTTCATATGATAAATACAGAATGTGTATATTTGCAGATACACAAGTTATGGAAAAACAAACAAACCAAAA